AGGCCTCACTCCCCCTACATTTAAAAATGAACTGTATAATATTTAAGGATGCATTATTCCGCTATGCATTTAAAACAATAGTTTAAAAAACATTAGAATGACATATACATCAAGAAAAAAGGAATTAGCTATGGAATTTTAAGCTAAACAATGTACATCTTAGTCAAAATGAATGATAAAAAGATCCAAGAGCTCTGGTTAGCAGACATTTAAAGCCAAGACAAAAAGCGATAAGTGTTTGCAATAAAGTCAGTAGTTTTTCTTGGCTTCATGTCATAAGGTTTTTAATTTAAATGTTTTATTATGCACCCCATCATACCCTTTCCTGTGGGCGGTAGTCAAAAGATTACAGATTAATGGGTCCAGGGACTGTACCTCAACATTACAGAGGTACATAATGGGTCCAGGGACTGTACCTCAACATTACAGAGGTTCATTAATGGGTTTCAGGGACTCTACCCAACATTACAGAGGTACATAATGGGTCCAGGGACTCTACCTCAACTAAAAGAGGTACATAATGGGTCCAGGGACTTACCTCAACATTACAGAGGTACATAATGGGTCCAGGGACTCTACCTCAACATTACAGAGGTACATAATGGGTCCAGGGACTGTACCACAAACTTATGATAGCTGAACAAGTTAGTTGTAATGAACTATTTACACGTTTATATCTGGTTACAATCGTAATGGGACTTCAGAATTATATCTTTGGTTAGACCTCGTGTAGCTTATGCTCCTCAGTTCTGGTCTCCATATTACAGAACGGACACATAAGTGCTGGAAAATGTACAGAGAAGGATGACGAAGTTGATTCCATGTTTTAGAAACCTTCCCTACGAAGACAGGCTGAAGGTATTTATATTGAAATTCAACCTTTTAAAGGCGAGAATTAGGGTAGATATGACTGCAATGTACCAGTGGAAAACAGGAATAAATAGTGCTTAAAATATCTAAGCAATGCATGACTCGCAGCAATGGCTCTTGGCTAGAAAAAAATATTTAGAAAGGATATATTGAAATATTGGTTTGCCAGCAGAGCTGTAGATAAGTGGAACTAACTCCCAAGTAGCGTTTTTGAGGCAAAAACTTCAGACACCTTCTAATATAGGTTGGATGGGATTGAACATCTCTTAATTTCAAGTTTCGACTTTTGCGTCAGTTTTTACTATTTTAATCAAAGTGAAATAATACAGACGGCCGCATCTTTATTAAATTTGGTCGTGTTAAGATTTTCCTTAGACACATAGTTGAGGGTGACCCTTCACGGGGAGACTTGTTACTGTCACCTGCGTCCTTGACCTTACAAGCAAATTCATTAGCCTTAAAGCTGGGCAATTCGATAGTGAAGGGCTCTTGATCCAGATAATCAGAGCTACCAGGAATCTTTGAGCGAATCTGACTGCCTCCCATTCTATAAGGTGCTGTTTGACCCCTAAGTGTTAGCGCTCTCCTCATGAAATACCTTTGTAAATATTTAGCAGTGGTATTGGCTCCTCGCCTGTAACAAATACACTGCCGGTAACCCAGCCAGCTTTATCGTGAATGATATCACGTGAAGCTGTTAGACCGAAGCTTGTAACCTTGAGTGTTCAGCCTAGTCACCTGTCCTTGAACAAACAGGTGATGATTACAGATCCCTTGTAAAGTTGAGCAATACGAGTCATGCTCCATTTGTTGCGTCAAATGTAAGAAATTCATTGACAAGACATTAAGTTACAGAAAAAAAACTTATTTCTTTGTATAGTATACAAAGTGTAGTTTACATGTAATAAAATACTGTTAAAACACAAAGAAAGCCACTAGCATGCATTTGCATGCTAGTGGCTTTCTTTGGAAGGCCTCGCTCAGAAGACCAAAAGCTGCACCTCATCATGTAACTATGACCGGCATCAGGAAACACTCGTCCAGTTTCCTGACAAACTTTAACTAACTAAGACCAGGTAAAGCATGTGTGAAAATAAAAACATTAAAGTGTTTCATTGTACAGGATTTCTAAAGTCGCTAGAAAAAATAAGTTACATATGTACTCCCCAAGGGCGAGCGGGGAGATTATATTGTGATCTCCCTAAGGTAGCAGCACCTTTGTAATGAGGAGCTTGTTTGGGGAAAATTTGCCTACAGAGGTTCTAAAATCGAGAATGTGGTAAATAATTTGAATATCGTTTATTTAAACACAGTGCTCGATTCAGGGGAGGGGGGAGAGCTGAACTTAATTGTATACATTAACACTAACACTTTATCAGGGAATTTAAGGTTTATTATCCATTCACGAAGGCCTAAATAATTATCTGAATAAGTGAAAATACTGTATCAGATCGTTGCCCTCAAAAGCGGCAATAACTTTTATTTAAAACTACAAAAGGGTAGTTTGAAGCTTTTCGGAATTCGGACTGAGATAGTCTCTCTCGTTACCAACAAACTCCGTCAACCTTTGGAAATATAAACACAAATGCAGTATAATATGATCCTTTATTGACAACGTTTCACCCACACAGTGGGCTTTTTTTAAGTCCACACGGATCTGATCCGTGTGTGACTTGAAAAAGCCCACTGTGTGGGTGAAACGTTGTCAATAAAGGATCATATTATACTGCATTTGTGTTTATATTTCCATTGTGTCGGTATTTTATACCATTTATTTCCATCCGTCAACCTTTCCCAAGTAAATAACTATCTGGTGAGACTAGAAGTGTAGTGGCCACCCGGGAACTACTTGACCAACGATTAGTGACCAGTCAGCCAGGGAAGATATGATTTCTGTTTTGTAGTGTCCACGCAGTTATATTTAGTGCCACTAAGTAAAGATAAATTTGCAATACCATTATGCTTTAGGAAATTACTTTACATAATGTCAGTCAGCCAGATTTCGGATTTAACTTACATTTACAGGTTTGCTCCCAGACAGAGACAAGTCTTACTCAGGAAGACTTTAGCTAAGGACACACTCCACACCTCAAGTTCGTCCCATGTTTTACACGAGTAACGCAGGTTCTACTGGTGTTTCGTCCACTTCAATACAGAAAAAAAATGAGTGTACAGAGAATCTGCGAGGTTGAGAATATCACCTCAAGTGATCTGTGAAGGCAAGAACCACCTCGCATCAAAGAGAGCCATCACAACTTTCCACAGCTTAGGCTGCTTTAATAAATAACGGGAGTAGATCTTTTGTGTGACCGCTGGTAACACAATAACCTATACACAAATAACCGGCACATAGAGAGGAGCTTACGACGTTTCGGTTCGACTTGGACCTTTACAAAGTCATGGTTCAAGTCGGACCCAAACGTCGTCGTAAGCTCCTCTCACCTATGTACGGGTTATTTGTGTATCGTTCCAGTCACGGTATTGTGCCTTATAATTATTATAAGCATGGAGGAGCGCTAAACCGTAGGATTATACAGCGCCTGTGGTATTCAGACTCAATTCAGGGAACTGGAGCACAGATCCAATTCCCTACATCAAGAGCCCCTCACAATGCCCTTCCCTTGAGGGGGCATTGTGCCTGTGTTCTTTACAGTTATCTATGGAAAATACAGTAAAAACTTGCATCATAAAAAAGGAAACACCCTTGATCTACTCTGTTAATAAAATTTAGTATAATTACTACAACCAATTATACATAGGACAAACAGGTTTAAATTTAGGTGTAGACAGGAGAGTTCGGTAATTTTTCAGGATGTTCATAAAATCATGATATTAAAGATTATTATTATAATCAAAAAGAAGCGCTAAGCCACAAGGGTTATGATATTAAAGAGTGGTTTCCATTACATCGCCCAGCATAAAATGCATATACAAGTACAAAATACCAGAGTGGACTATAAATGGATCATAACCCGGCGTGATAGTGGCTATCTTTGTACTTAGCAAATCAAAATTGTAATTACACATTGTAACCTTTACAAATAAATAAACTTTTATCATTTCCACCGCCTAACAAAGCCAGAGGAAACGAAGTCACTTGTGTTTGTGTCTGTGTCATGGTTCCTGCGCCTGACTCACTGTCTGGAGCCAACTCTTATATTACGTGCCATGTCAAGTTATCTTTTAATATATTATGTAGCCTTTGTACACCTGTTACTCCACTGACGAGAGCCTCAGTTAGTGGCAGAAACATACAGTAATTTAATTTTATTTTTTTTCTCTGTACCCAGAGCCGGATTAAAATTTTGTAGGTCCCTGGGCTACATGTATTGTGAGGCCCCCAGTGATACCTGGAGAGGGTTTCGGGGGTCGACGTCCCCGCGGCTAGGTCTGAGACCAGGCCTTGTGGTGGATCAAGGTCTGATCAACTAGGCTGTTACTGCTGGCCGCACGCAAACTGACGTACAAACCACAGTCCGGCTGGTCAGGTACTGACTTTAGGTGCCTGTCCAGTGCCTTCTTGAAGACAGCCAGGGGTCTATTGGTAATCCCCCTTATGTATGCTGGGAGGCAGTTGAACAGTCTTGGGCCCCGGACAACTTGTCGGTATTTATTACCAAGGTTTATACCAACTTATTGTGTTCTTTCTCAGTGTACTCGTGGCACCCCTGCTTTTTATTGTGGGAATGTTGCATCTCCTGCCGAGTCTTTTGCTTTCAAAGGGAGTGATTTTCGTGTGCAAGTTTGGTACTAACTCCTCTAGGATTTTTCAAGTGTATATTATCATGTATCTCTCCCGCCTGTCAAAAAGGAAAAAAATTCAATAATTATATTTATTTTTACAAGACCAATCACAATTAAAATTTATACATTTGTTTCGCGCAATTTCTTGTAAACAAATTCCTCCAAAACATCAGTAAATTGTTGACAACATCTCTGGAAGCCCTCCGGCTGCCAGAGGCCCCTGGGCTGCAGCCTCTAAAGCCCATGCCTTAATTAATCCGGCCCCGTCTATATGAGTTAGTTTATACCACTGACTAGTGTTTCTTAGTGTGTTTGTGTACACCTATAGCATTTCTAATATTTTTTTTCTGGTCTACATAAATAAAGTGTCGTGGAGAGGTACCCACCTAGCTGACAGTCGTCCATAGTCCTGTCAGTGATGGCTCTGGCAAGGAAATTTATTTGATTGTCTGTGAGCTCTCCTCCTTTGATCTTAAAAGCTAGCAAGTCCGACACTGTCAACTCCCCTTGCTCTGCCGACCCTGGTGCTGAAGACACTGTTTTCACCATCGCTGTGACCTCTGCTCCCGAGAGTGTGACCCGCCTTCCTGTCAGTTTGACCTCTGTTGAGGCAAGATTGCTTCCTTTCCAGCGAAAATGAATTATTTTTGTCGTTCTTGTTGCTGAGATTCCAAATTCTGTGGCTCACTTGTGGCAAGACACGCCAGTCATCAACTGTGTGGAAGAAATTCCAATGTTACTGACTGTAAAATTTCAAGAAGAAACAAGAAAAGAAGAGGCCCCCCTTTCCCCAGAGGAATAATAGGAAAAGGGAAGAAAGCCAAGCAGTGATTTATTTACCAAAATGAAGGAGTAAATGTATGATAGAATTTAATGTGTAAAATAGGCAATCAGCTCATTAAAACCTTAAAATAAAAAGATTGAAGTTGAGTAAAAGAACTGATAAATGGATAATAATTGAAAAGTAGATAAACTGCGGTAATGGAAAATGGACGAAAATGATTCAGTCCCCATGACATATAGATTTTATGATAAAATATTAACATTAATGAAGTATCTTGAGCTATTTATAAATTATCTTATCAATAAAAATTCACACATTTCCAACAGACATTATCTTTCGCACTTCTGAAAACTTTTAGATAATTAAAATTGCTAGTTTCTGCGGTGTTAGATCAGGTAAGATATATCAGGAAACAGGACAACTCTTTCCTGACGGGGATCTTAGTCATATGATGAAGCGTAGCTGGAGCTTTTGGTCATCTGACCGAGGCCTTCCACTGGCTTACCCTCCACCCCCCTCAAAAATTACGGTTATGGTTATAACCATTTCATATTAACTGGGGGTGGTGAAGTGCTTTATTCAGCACGATTTACCACACCAGTATTATTATGATAGGGGAGTGATAACCCAGAGGGATTATACAGCACCTGTGGGGGGGGGGATGGAAGGCATTCAGATTAATTCAAGGAAGTGGAACACAGATCCAAATCCCTAGATCAAGGGCCCTCCCAGCATCAAGGAACGTCCCTTGAGGGGTTCCACGCACTTGCATACAAAAGTTCGATTAAATTTAGAAAGATTACTGAAAATTTTCGCTTTTGAATTAAGATCAGTTTTGTAACTGTCACAGTACAGAGGTCTATAATAAGCATTACTAAAACAACTGACAATGAAAACTTCTTCATATGCACTATCAAATGTCACAAGGACCCAAATAACAGTCACTGACTATTTTGGGGTTATCCTAGGTAACTTACACAATACATGATAATTGTACTTGTGTGTGCCTGTGCCTAAACAATCTTACTTACAAGACGCCATAACTACAAACTAAGGAAGAACTTCGACATAAAATCAGCAAACTACTTTTGTGTATAACATAAAATCATCAGTCGCTGACGTTCCTGCTGCCTGGCTTCGGTTGGGTTACAAGTTCCTCTTATGTAGACATAACCAAATATAAACTTTGCCAGAGGAACTAGTGTCACACCCGGCCTAATTATGTGCTGAATAACGAAACAAATAATGAATGAACTCAACAGATAATTCACTCTAAGTACTCAAGAAATGTCAAAGCATATTATCAACCATTCTAGAACAGTTTGGATTCAACTATTTGCAGCTTCACTGAGCATTAGTAGTAGTAATTGTATAGTAATTACTTATTTCACAGTACCTGGGACTGGAAGGGAACTAGATTTGATGGAAGGGACGGTAGCTTCAATTCCTTGAATTTTTTTTTATATTTTATTGAAAACGCAATCACAAATTTAAAATGTGGCAATGTAAGCAATTCAAATTCAAAGTTTATCTCTA